GGGTGAGATGGGACAGAAGATTCATCAATGGTTTAAGAAAGACCGCAAGAAAGATCAGAAGAACAATGGACACGGCAACGCTAGGAACTCAAAACGCTCGAAGAACATGTGGGACGCTGGAATACAAACGCGCGTACATCGAGGACTCGCCTCCTCCATGATCAAACCGAACGAAAGTATAGGGAACTATTTGAATGACGTCACGTCAAGCCGGTTCCCTGAAGTCGAGACCCGGCAAATCGTAGCAACGAAGTCATGAAATGGTACAAACAAAGTTAAACATTACTCACTGCGTCTTGAGGATTACGTGGTACTGCTGGGTGCGGCCTTAGGTCCATGCTCTAATTAACGTGCCACTAAAAGTAAATGCACAATATTGTCATAATCTGAAGAAGAAAAAAATCTTTAGATGGCCTCTGACAGTGCAAGGTTAGCTCAATTCGAGCATTTTTTTAAAAACTTTTTCATTACATACTAATACGCAATCATTGGTCATTAATGTTTCTTAAAGTGGAATATAATTTGCTAGAATTTTTTTTAACATGGATTTAAAGTACTCACCCGAAGAAAATTCACTGATAATTATGGACAAATTATATGTGGATGGAAAGATTTTCTATTGAAAAACACGAATAATTTGCTGGAAAATTATATAGATTTCATGGAAAGGCATAAAATGCAATGTTGTGGCTAGCAGTGTCTCGCATATGACGTCATGAATCTTGACACTCTACGGAGGACCGCTGAAAATCTTGATCTCAAAATTAACAGTTTTGAGAGATGATTACTGCGGACCCCGAACATATTTTGAAGAGGGAAGTTGTTATATTTGATCAGTAAGGCTTCCCTTTCCCAATGATATAAATTTTGCATCAATTCAAAACCTTTTTGATTCTTCAGGTGACTACTTTAAGCACTCAGATAATACAACGCACATAATTTTGTCACTCGCTCTTTTCTTGCCACGGGAATTCTGTATTTGGATGATTGTCTTGGAACTATGGAATTTTTATTTATGCTGTGGACCTTTCCAGAATGCTCTTGTGATCTCAAATTTCAATTACTACTCTTGGGCAAGGCCAATATATTTTTTGTATTCTTTTATTCATATATAATTATTATTGTCATTATCATTATTATTATTATTATTTTTTTTTTTTTTTGGGGGGGGGGGGGTTGTCATTTGATGTCCCATATTCGTTACAAAGAATGAATAAAACTTCTAGCAAACAACATCGCAAGTGGCATTTTCCTCGATGTTAAGTCTGGTCCGAGCTCTATCTAGTTCAATACAGTGTGACCCATTAAAAACGGACTAGCATATTTCCAATAATGTGGGGCGAAAATCATTGGTACTAGTAGACAGAGAACCTGTTTCGATGTGAAATGTTACCAACATTGCTAAAGTCGGTTGAGTATCTTTTTAAATCATTATTATTATCATTTATTCATTTTGAATTCTATACCCATTTTTTGGCGAAACAATTAATGTCGTTGCCATCTACCGGCAGTACCCCTTGCAGAAATGATTTTAAGACAAAAAAACCTGTATCAAATTTGTAATTGTTGGTATCATTTTTCATGCAAAAGGATTCTCCTTTCCCTGGTACCCGTAGATTTGACCCCACATCATTTGAGGCACGCTAGTACGTTTTTATTGGGTCACCCTGTACAGGGCTTTTAACTGGATAGGATCATTGGGTATACCGAAACTTTAGGTTTTTTTTTGTAACATAATGGGGCAAATTACCTTGTACTTTTCCGTAATATATAAGTTGTAAAGAAATGATGGTATATGATTATACATGTACATATAAAAGTCTGTTATGATGTAATATTGAAAAGATAACATCGCAATAGAGTCGATTATGTATAACGATTTGATGTAAATGGGGAAAAGTTTTGAAATACTAAATCTCACTTTATTATGTTATGTCCTTTTCTCAATAAATTATTCTAAGAATTTAAAGTTAATTCTCTACTAAAAATATATCCAGTTTTAGAGGAGTTAGGCACTTAGTCGAAATCATGAAATAATCATATCTGTAATCATAATGGTATAATATTATGTCTGCATTGGTTTAACATATATCCCGTTGCTATAGTGTAATATAATGTGACAATGCATTGATCCCTGACCCCCGAATTTGTTCTCTTACATTTTTTCTCATGAACCCCCCCCCCCCCCAAAAAAAAAAAAAAAAATCTCGCCACTACATCTCCCTCTCCTCTCCTCTCCTCTCACACACACACACACACACACACCCTCTCTCTCCTTTTTCCCTCAAATTCTCTGCCTTTCTCTCCATCTCACACTCTCCCTCTTCTTCCTTTCTCTCTCCCTCCCTCCCTCCCTCTTCTCTCGCTAGCTGTCATTGTAGTTTTAATTTACATTCAGTATATAAAAAGATAAAGCATTTGACAGTTCATAATGCTGTACGTTTCTCCACTGTTTTTTCTCTTTAGTTACACAAGGGCTTTAAGATGTCAAAATTACCAAAGTGACATTGCTGTATAACTGCACACTTTTGTTTCATTCAGCTTCATCTTGCCTTTAACATTTTTAATCTTGCTTAATGAGGTACTATTCTAATACTCTAATCGATTTGAAGTGGATTTGTGGAAATGACGTCTTTGCTCCAACCTAATTATTTTTTGCCAGTATTTTTTTTCTCTATCAGTACCTGAATTGAAAGTGCAAATAAAAGTTCTTGTGATGATAAATAAATTCTGGTGTTTGTCTTTGAATAGTAATGCATCTTTGTGAAAGAAAATAAATATGTCATGAGTGACAGTAATCACAAGTATGATTAAATAAATAAATAAAATTATTTTGAATTATATATTTTGGCACCAAGGCCATCCCAGAGAGGGAGATATATATATATATATATATATAGAGAGAGAGAGAGAGAGAGAGAGAGAGAGAGAGAGAGAGAGAGAGAGAGAAGATAAAGACAAAGAGAGAGAGAGAGAGAGAGATATATATAGAGAGAGAGAGAGAGAGAGAGAGAGAGAGCAGATAAAGACAGAGATATATAAAAAGAGAGAGACACAAACAGACAGACAGAGAGAGAATGAGAGAGGATTAGTAAAGGACTGGGCAGAGAAAAAGAAGGTACAGAGGGAAAGAGAGATGAAGACAGAAAATCGGGAGCAGGTTCACAAAGAAGGGGGGAGGGAGAGAGAAAGAGAAAGAGAGTAAGAAAGAGAGAGAGAGAGTAAGAAAGAGAGAGAAAGAGAGAGAAAGAGAGTAAGAAAGAGAAAGAAAGAGAGATAGAGAGTAAGAAAGAGAGAAAGAGTAAGAAAGAGAGAGAGAGAGTAAGAAAGAGAGAGAGAGTAAGAAAGAGAGAGAGCTGGCCAGGGGGAGTTCAGGACACCCTCACTCTGAGTTTCTACTCACATCTCCTGCTCATAACTAAATTCACATGTGATATGATGGACCCATTGTCTTTACATGTATGCCATGTGTATGTCACCCACTGAAGAAACTATAATGTTATAAATGGCCTGTTATATCTTGCTCCTGACTTTGTCACGCTCTCCTCTTCCTCGTCTTCTTTTCTCTAAGAGCCCACCACCTCAAAACATCAATCATCCCTCCTCCCGGAAAAAAAGATAAAAATCAAAGGAGGAAGATGGAAGGGGAAAGATGAGAGGCACGGGGTTTGATTAACTAACATCCAGGTCTTTGGTTTAGATGAGGGTTGTTGAAAATATACACTCCTCCATCACAAATGCAAAACATATGAAGGATTACTTTAGTAAAATGTTTTCACACAAAACAAGAAGGATCCCACAGCACATATATTGGGCTATACATATATCTTGAAATAATTCTCTATATTTTCTTCATTCACAGCAACACAAACATGAAGACAAACCGTAAATTTACAATAAAAGGTGATAGAGCATTCAATTTCCATAGACAGATTATCAATTTGACAACAATATCTTTCAAGGTGCAATATTCAAAGTTAGTTAATGAATACATTAATACAATAAATGTTAGGGAAATATTCAAGAATAATCTTTTACAGACAAACTAGAGAACATAGGAAAATATTGAACAATGTAATAAACTTAAAGATTTGGAAGCTGCATTGCTCATCGAAAGTAGTCTTCACTTGAAGTACCTAGCTAATGTAACGAGAGGTACAAGAAATTATTTGCTGCAATGACAATTTTTCAAACAGTGAATCCCTTTAATAAACAGTAATATCTAGTCATAAACAATGTAGGTAGGTATGTCAAGCAGCATTACAAATAAGAGTAATGAAATAACACCATGTGTTAATTAATATTCATTACATACAATTCATCGTTTATTTGTATTTGTAAATTAAAGCTCATAAACCCAGATGATCAAACATAAATTTACTCTCCAGTTGTAACATCCACTAGGGCCCCCTCTTCCCAGTTCGAGTCCTGCCGCGGCACTAATGTGACATTTGTTTACTATAGTTTACTTTGGGTTAGGGTTAGGGTCCGGTATAGTGTTTGGTTCATGGCTGCGGTTTGGAAATGGAATATTGTAGGACATTGACAATAGAGGGATTTTGCCAGAGCATGTGTTGCACAACCTTTTGGGGGCACATTGTGTATAACAATGTAAAGATACAAAACAGGGTTGACCTACTTTATATAAAGGATACTTTATCTTGACTTGGGGTATATGCTATGCTACTAATAAGGGTAGACCTCCTAGAATAAAAGAAAGTGAGACATTTCTCTTGATTTGGGGTCTAGAGATGTAAAGTCTGGCTACTAAGCAGAGTGCATGGACCTCCTTTAAATAAAGAACATTTTCTCTTGACGTAGGGTGTAACAATGTAAAGTTTGGCTGGTAATTAGAGCAAATCTCCTTTAAAGCCCCACTGTACTACTTGTAGTTACTTGCGCCCTCTATATAGCAAACAATGCCTAAGCGGTGCCCGTTGGTCCCCCATGATCCCCTTTTTCTTATGTTAATTGAGAGCAGATTTGATGAGATAACTACCTGTGCAGTGACCATGCAGGGAGGTCTAATCCCCCCTGGCTAAACCAGTGCAGATAGGCTTAAATAAAGGCGGTTTAGTTTTGATTGCAAGGGTGATGAGGGCGTGGTCAAGATGGTATCACTGGAATGTGTAACTGGGGTTGGGCGTCGCCCCGCACCACTGACCTACGAACTTCAAGACATCCTGACACTCAGTGCTGTGTGACATCTGGGGAAAGAAGACAAAAACACAAGGATAAATTCATATTTCCTTTGTTATTTTTAATGCGATCAACAACTTTATTCATGAGATAATAAAAGAGATTGTGGCTTTAAAGAGAAGGTTGAGTTCTAAGAAGAGGTGAAAAAGAATTTGTGAGCGTTATCATTCTTATTATGCAAGAGTGGAAGAACATCAGAGAAAAAATGTTCCTTGAAAAGCATGGCTCTTCAAATGCCTTCATATTCTAAATATAAAAAGTAACAGCTTAAAAATGAGGCCCCATTTTTATGCCACAGTTTGTGTAGTCCCATCATCTTTCTGTGTACAGTGCTTGTCACTGTACCAAGACTGGGCCAAATATCTTATTATTTTGATGACTCCAGAACCTTGCAGTACACATCAATAATTATCTGCTACATGATCAATTGTTTTCTGATCAATTCCACGCCGTTTCTTTTACAATGCAATTGCATGACCAGAACTCAACTTTATCTTTAAGTGCCTGTCTCTCAACATACATAATCATACCTGATCTATATTTTCTGTAAACACACAATCGCGCTCACACACACCCGCTCCAAGCATTAAACAAAATCACTAACCTTTGTAGCCATAAGAAACTTGTTCCAGTCATCTTTATTAGCTGCCTTGTCGGGTCGCTTGAAATCCAGTTTGTTACGCAGGACAGGGTAGCCTGAAAGGTGAAATAGAAAAGGAAAAATAAATGAGATTCAAGTGTTGATTCTCTGGAATGACTTTGAGAGGATGAAGTGACATGTAGTTCCATTTATTTATTCATTCCACATTTTACATTGAAAACCAGTTTGAATTTTTTTTTTTTTTTAATAATTAAAAAAAAATTAAAAAAATTGGTGTTGATAGCATATATGCAATACCCCCAAAATTCAGCAAGGTAGAATGTTGCACTGGGGGGTGTTTCACAAAGATCCTAAGTTGAACTTATCTTTAAGTTGGACTTAACAATTATGGAAAGTCGTTAGCGTCTATGAAAATATTTTGTAAAAGTTATTTTAAATGGCATAAAATGTTGATTCAAATCATTCATATTTTATATTATCAAGGAGATTTCATGTTCTTGATGTGGAATTTATAAAAAGTCTAAAATACTTGAATTTTAACTTTTAAACATATTTTATTTTAAGGCTACAAATGGCTCTCCATAACTTTTAAGTCCAACTTAGAGTAAAGTTTGACTTCAGATCTTTGTGAAACACCCCCCTGGACTGGGATATAGTCGAAGCTTCGATTTGATTTAGCATTATAAAACCTGACCTTCATGTATCATACCAATCCTATAGAAAGTGAGTCTCTACTGATACCTAAATTGGCAAAGCAGAAATGTTATAGATGCTGCTTGTAAGTATCGGCTTGCATGGTGATGTAGAAAGATTACCGAGAGTCCTTTTCAGGACTCCTCAATCCTCCCTCTCTCTCACATGGTGCACCCGCAAGCCTACTGTAGAAATTGTACATTCTTACCTTACCTACAATGATGACATGATAGTGATCTAATCCTTGAAATGGCAATGCATGTGCATTCTTTAATTTTGTGTCTACCTGTGATGATGTAAGTTAAATCTATTTAAACTGAAATTTGAAGAGATTTAAAGCAGGACTGCACTCATTGTAGTTACTTGCGCCCTCTATATAGCAAACAATGCTTAAAGGTAATACAAAGTTTTGGGAAATTTTGAAAATTGGGTGGATAGTGATTCTGTACAATGTTGATATATTTGGATGTCCCTGTGGACGTATTATAAGCACTAGAAAATTTAGCCCCTATAATACTTCTGTTTTCGAGAAAAATTGAATAGAAAAATTTACTGGTGCTCCCGGTAAATTTTGATAAATTTCAAATAGCGCCTGCGGCCGTACAATGGTAGCTGCGACCATTAATTTCTCAGAATATGTAGTTGTGATATATAATTTCCAAACGGGAATAGCTAATTGGTCGATTTTAGTCAAGAAACATTCTTTTTTAGCTTAATTAATATCTTGACCTTGAGAGTGAGGTATACAACATAAAGATAATTATTTAAAAGTGATAACTGTAGCCTCGATTTCAACCGCGACAACGATCACTGAATATTGTAGGATCGCCTATGCTTCCAATATGTTCATTTGAATCAAATTCATGACCCCATACCAAAACTTTGTATTACCTTTAAACGTTACCAGTTGGTCCCCCATGGTCCCCTTTTTCTTAAGTTAATTGAGAGCCGATTTGATGAGATAACCACCTGTCAAAGACCACACCAGGAGGTCTAATCCCTCCTGGCTAGTACAGATAAGCTTTAAGAGAATTTAGAAGTACCGGTAAGGACACCTGGGGGTGTTTCACAAAACTTGTCATCAGTGACTAATGACAGTTTTTGTTATAAGCTACTGAAATCCTTGTTTCTGATTGGTTATCAGCAGGTTTGTCACTGATTTGTGTCATTTGTCATTGAAAAAGGCTTTGTGAAACAACGCGGCGTTGTGGCGTGCCCCTGTAATCCAGCATAAAATGGAAGTTACAGACTCATTCAGCCGAGGATGCAGGTTCAAAACCGAGTCACGTCTTTTGGATGTTGAAGTTAAAAGTCGGTCACCAGATGTAAATAATCATATCTGATTGATACACGTCTGTAAAACCCCAATACACACACACACAAACCCCCCTGTTTTCTTACCTGTAATGACACAGGGTATTGATTTCATGCCTGAGTTGGCAGCGACCAGGGAGGCCACGTAGGTGTCTCTCTCGTCCTTGTCCAGGACCTGTTCTACCTGCTGGTCCATGGAGATGGACAGGACCCACTCTTTCACCTCCTCACGAAGATCGTCCTGCATGTGACAAAATAGGATATATTGTTTCATTTTACAGTACTATTCTAACCCTTCGATCTGCACTCCTATTTTGTTGAATAACTGACAAAAACAAACTTTCAAGCAATAAATGATTTTGTTTTCTTTCTTTTTCATGTTTAAGTTGGACACAGCATATCAAAATATCTATCTTTGTTTGAAAAAGAAAATACAGGCTTTTTTTCTCTTATTTCAAAACGTATTGTAATAAGCACTCCAAAACTTGAGAGTAATGATGTAAACCTTGGTTTTTTTTAGAATAATCTGTTCCTTATTAAAGGGACTTGTTGATATTGTTCAGATGAGAGAAAATGGTGCTAAGGTAGTGACTTCAATGCTAGATGTACATTTAAAGATAATCTGAAAATTTGAAACAGGTAGTTTTTTTTCGGGCTGGTCAACTCACAGCGATGTGTTGTTTCTCCGGGAGAGGTACTTCAAATGGAATGTCAGTATCCTGAAAATCAGTGTTGTCCAGGATATCCAGACTGCCTTCTTCAATGGCCTGAAAAGAAAAAAAAAATTGGATGAGATCTGAATGCAAACTAACCTTAAAGTAGTCACCTGAAGAAAATTCATGACAACTGATGATTATGGACAAATTATATATGGATGGAAAGATTTTCTCTTGAAAATCATGAAGAATTTGCTGCAAAATCATATAGAAATCATGGACAGGCACAAAATGCTATTTTGTGGCTGGCTGTGTCTCGCATGAGGCGTCACAAATCTTGACGCTCTACGGAGGACCACTGGAGGCAGAAAATGTGGATCTCAAAAGTAACATTTTTTAGAGATGATTACTGCGGGCCCCTAACATATTTTGAAAAGGGAAGTAGGTACAATTGATCAGTAGGGCTTCCCCTTTGCAATTATAAGAATTTTGCATCAATTCAAAACCCTTATGATTCTTCAGGTGACTACTTTAAAGTCATAGGGAAGTACAGTCAAAGTAACATATACAGTCAAATCTGTCTCTGCAGTGGCCACCTGTCTATAAAGGCCACCTGTCTACAGTGGCCCTTTGGTGGCCTTAATAAACAGGTTTTACTGTATTCGAAGACAGCCTTTCTTGAGACAAATAGACACCTATAGACAGGTGGTCTTTCTACTTAGCTGATTGCTAATATTTCTAGGACACCTCCAAAAGATATTTATCTGTGACATTTTTAAAAGCGTCCATAGATAACACCCTTCAGCATGAAAAAAGATGCATACTGGCTCTCTCACATTTGTGAGGCAGAGTTTTATTTTTTAATTTTTGAAATAGCATCTTCTGGCTATTGTAAAACTGACCACTAAAATCAGTTAACTTTTTTGGGGGTAAACTTAACCACAAAGCTAATATCTCCTTAAATGATAAATAACTTGGAGAATATATATATTTTTATCTTAAAGTTTAAAAAATGAAGCTGTGATCTAGTTGTTACTGATAATAACAAATTGTAGGTGACTGATTAATTGTTAATATGCTTGAAACAAGATGACAACTCAAAAGCTTACCTCTGTCAGATCAAGGAATCTGTTTAGGAATACAAATGCCATGCTTTACATGTTATGAGCTCTAGCTTGTAATCCCCCTTCATTACTAGATCAATCAGATCTGGTCTAATCCCCCCCCCCCTCCCCTCCTCCTCCCCCTGCAAGAGAATCCACAATCTGGCACTGAAGACATCCAAAACTCACCTCTGTTAGATCCAGGAACCTGTTGAGGAACACAAAGGCCATGCTGTACATGTTCTGCGCTCTGGCTTGAACTCCGGCTTCGTAGAAGGCTTTATCTGCCGGGACGACGTCACTGTGACGTAGGAGAGCTATGGAGAGCTTGGCTGCTACGGGCTCCTAGATTGACAAGGTCACAGGGTAGAACAGGAGTGGACGAATTAAAACGAACGACGCTAGGAATGTCAATTTTCAGGCATCTATTGTTCCTGAATCTCAACAAAAGCATGTTTTTGTGATAGTATGAATGTATCCCACCGCTGCTACCATGTTATGCCTATTAGAAAGGAGATCTCGTACAAGAGTATTGCCAACCCTGGGGCGACTACCCATTAGGACAATTATCCCCCAGTGGAACAACGATCCACAAGGACACCTACCCGACAGACATACATGTACCTCAATTATCTTGAGGAAACTACAACGGGTGGGATTTAATAAAGGTAGATACCTGGAGGTTTTGGTTTTGAGGGAGCTGTCGGAAGTTGATGATGTGGATGATTGTCAGAATGATCTCAAACCACCCATCCCCCTTGCGCCCCCCCCCCCCCTTCTACCATACCACCCCATCTTGCTTCTCCCTATTTGTTTTTTCCTTCATTATCAGGTTCTTCATTGCCATATATATACTCTTAACATTGTCTCGACAACCCCCCCCCCCTCCTCTGTGACGCTACCCCTCCCCTCCCTGCTTCTTTGATCACCATCATCCTCTTTCTTACCAGGTTCTTCTGAGCCATGCATGCACTCTAAGCATTGTCTGAACCCCTCCCCCCCTACCCCAACCCCCTCCTTCATGACCCTATCTCATTCTACCCCCCCCCCCCCCTCCCTGCTTCTTTGATCACCATCATCCTCTTTCTTACCAGGTTCTTCTGAGCCATGCATGCACTCTAAACATTGTCTGAACCCCTCCCCCCCCCCCTACCCCAACCCCCTCCTTCATGACCCTACCCCATTCTACCCCCCCCCCCCCTCCTTTTCTGCTTCTTCACCATCTTTCTTACCAAATTCTTCTGTGCCATGCATGCACTCCTGTTGGCATAGTAATGGGCGACGGTTAGCATCGTTTCAAACTCCTGATGAGGGGCAGTGTTTGCCATCTGTGTCTGTTGCATGTTCTCACACTGTAGATGATATAGCAATAGAAATAGACTTGTTAATACTGATAGTATCAACAATCCTATTCATTAATTTTACAAAGAAAATAGCGCTATAACAAACAAAATACAATGACAAACAATTTTTTTAAATTTTTTAAATACAATCAAATTGAACTATCCGAACATAAACTGATCAGTACTAGTTAACCCTTACTGTACTGGGCTATTTTGAGCACCTCGTGACTGGGGGAGGGGCGGCCCGGGAGGCCCCCCCCCCCCCATGATCTCGGCCGTCGAAAGTACGATGAACGCGAAAATTTGCATGTTTGTAGATATTTACATAAGGGACAAGATGGTATAATTAGTTTTTTCCTAATATGCAAAGTTTTGTCGTTATAGCCTAATTAATTATGCAAAATGCTAATTTTATGCATTTTACAGAAAACTCTACATATTTGTCTGCAGACTTGTGAAGAATGTTAAAAATGTATTGAATAAATGTTTCCTTCATCTCAAATTCATGAGGTTACATTATTTTGTGATATTTGAAAATGCATAGGTTAATTTGCATAAATTTGCATAAATTATAGCATATTTTTGATGACATGCGCATACTAATTGTTATGTAATCCTCCCTTAAATCTACTTGCGCTATGGCATTATCAAATTAAAATACAAATTCAAGGATTTAACTTACCAGATTTAGAAGTACATCTCTCAGATCAGCCCAGACTTTGTAAGAGTCTGGCTTATCAAGGTTAGGGGCTGCAAAGATCTCATTAGCAATGCGCTTGTAGATGTTGAAATTCTGAAATAAAGATGATGCGAAAAACAGTGGATAAGTATTGAGAAACAACATATAAATTCACATAAGACCTGTCTTCATCAGCTCGAGTTTGCCAAATAACCCGCTATTTAACTATCCCGATCGCAAATTAGCCAGTTAATTTGCGTCTTCATCATACCGCAGTTGCAATTAGTGGGATATTTGGTTGAGAAAATATCCTGAGAAATCTTGGTCTTGTTTCCAAAATATCCTGCTAAATAGTGCCCAAGGCCATTCCATGGTAGCTGCGACCATGAAAATCTGAGAATACGCAGTTCTGATATATAATTTCCAAATGGCTATAGCAAATTGGTTGATTGTAGTCGAGAAACATTGTTTTAGAGCTAAAGTAATATCAGTCTTGAGAGGGCGCTATACAACATAAAGAGTTAATTATTTACAATTTCATTACTTTAGACTTGAATTCAACCGCGACAACGATCATTGAATATTGTAAAATTGCATATGCTTCCAATTTGCTCATTTGAACCTAATTCATGACCCCATACCAAATCTTTGTAATACCTTTAATTGCATAAATTACCATAAATATGCAAACGAGTGAATTAAAAAAAACTAGATGGGACTTCGACTGCGCGCAGTCGAAAATGATGCCTCCGTCATAGAGCAATTTTACAAACCAAAACAGAAGAAATTTTTCAAATTCAAGTTCAATTGTAATCCATTAAGAGGTTCTCAGAATATCGTGATTACAAGCAATTTCTCATATACATATATGACCCTTTGATCTTTGACCTGATGACCCTAAAATCTACTCAGTTCATTGGCTCTGCAAGATGTCCTGAGTTAAATAGTAATCCATCTGTCAGTTCTAATGAGAATGCGTTCACAAGTTATTTTTGGATACATAATGAGCCCATGACCTTTGACCTCATGACCTCATGACCCATGAATCTACTCAGTTCATTGGCTCTGCAAGATACATACATGATCGAAATTTGGCAGGAATCCATCAATCTGTTCTAATGAGAATGCGATCACAAGCTATTTTTGCATACATAATGAGCCCTGTGACCTTTGACCTTTGACCTCGTGACCCCAAAATCTATTCAGTTCATCGGCTCTGCAAGATACATACATGACCAAAGTTTGGCAGGAATCCATCGATCGGTTCTTGAGATAATGCGATCACGAGCTCTTTTTGCATACCTAATGAGCCCTGTGACCTGTGACCTTTGACCTTGTGACCCCAAAATCTAATCAGTTCATCGGCTCTGCAAGATACATACAAGACCAAAGTTTGGCAGGAATCCATCAATCGGTTCTTCAGATAACGCGATCACGAGCTGTTTTTGCATACATAATGAGCCCTGTGACCTTTGACCTTTGACCTCGTGACCCCAAAATCTAATCAGTTCATCGGCTCTGCAAGTAACATACATGACCAAAGTTTGGCAGGAATCCATCAATTGGTTCTTCAGATAACGCGATCACGAGAACGGGACGTACGGACGGACGGACGGACGGACAACCCGAAAACATAATGCCTCCGGCTACTTCGTAACGGAGGCATAAAAATGTAAATGGCTTACCTGTGAGTTGGGTGGTGCCCCATGGTGGACATAGAGATCCAAAGCCTTGAAGAAGTTATTCTCTTTGATGAGGTGACTGGCGTACAAGGCTACATACTTGTGAAGTACCTTGTAGCCTTGCTTCTCAGCTGTTTCCATGCACTTCTCCCACTCGCCGCGGTCCACGTACATGTCCAGGGCACCGATGATGTCCACCGTAGCCAACTGAAAAGAAGTAATAAATCGAGAGCAAGTTGACAACATGCTTCAAAGATGATGATGCTTATTTATAACCAAGGGGGGTGTTTCACAAAGACTAAGATCGACTTTAAGTTGGACTTAACTAAGGCAGGCCGTTCATGCCACTGTTTGCTCTCACCATTTACAGGCATTGGCCGCTCAAGGGACATACAAATCATGGTCACAAATCTACAGAATTTACACTTTTTGATAGTTCATTGAGAGATCAATGGTGAGAGCAAACAGTGGCTTGAATGGTTTGCCATAGTTAAGTCCAACTCAAAGCCGATCTTAGTCTTTGTGAAACACCCCCAGGCAATGCTATTGTTCTTGATGTAAATATGTCAGAAGCATTATGATGTGTTGGTTTTCAATCCTTTACAACTTTCCATAATAAACAAATGAGGTGTACCGGTATAATCATTCTCCTCTATTTACCACCAATAACCCATTGGAGTTCTTCTTCCTCAAATGATGCAACATTCAAACTGTTATAAATATATTAGTAAGAAGGAAAGGGGAACTTTGATTGTGTCATATAAGCTGCAGTTTTCATTTCATAGAAATGTACAGGCCATCTAAATAATAAAAGCTTACCATGAAAAGGGTGTTAAATTGAGACTAAAAAAGGCAAGCAAGTTTGACTGCATATAAGGATGCAATGTACTGACACAATATCGAGGAGGCGCGATAGCTCAGTTGGTAGAGCAGTGGTCTCGAGTTCGGGCAACCCGGGTTCAAAACCAAGGCGATGTGCTAGTGCCCTTTGGTAAGGCGTTAATCCTCATTACCAGGTCTCTCGGAGAGGAGCTAACGCTGTTGGTCCTCTGGTTGCTTACTTACAAGCATTTATGCTTTCTTAGTAGTCAGGCAAAATAACCACTACTACTGCAATTTATTAGTATGCATTAAATCTATCAAAAACTAAGGTCAAAATAACTGGTTTGTTTCAGGGGTGATAGTACGCACCCCTTGAGTAAAAAAAAAAAAAAAAAAGGTTTCAGGGGAAAATAATGGCATCTAACAACATTCCCCCTTTTGAGTAAGAAAATTGAGGAAAAAATAGGGAAGAAAAGAGAAAATAATAATAATAAAAAAAAAAAATTGGAAAACCAATTTAAATCGGGTAATTATCAGGCCTGTTTGTTTACATAAGAATGCCACTATGATACTTACGGATTCTGCTCTGCCCTCGCTCTTGAGGAACTCCTTGTACTTGTCGTCCACATAGCGCTCGTAACGAGGTTCAAGCTCCTTGGCGACCTTCTGAGCTCTGGCCCACTCACCTCCATCCATCAGGGTATCGATGGCTTCCTTGATCAGGTCAAGACTTAGGTACAGCTCCGCAGCCTTCACGAGAGAGAAAAGGAAAAGATTTTACACCGTTATGTATCCTTTAAAATGGCTTTCCTCTGATATTTTAGTTCCAGGGGCCGTCTTCAATTCAGTTACGTGAATTAAGTTAGTATTTTACTTAGAATTTTAATTGGCTAAGTGATATGTCTTAAAGGCCGGTTGTACTAGTGCAACCAGAAGGGATTAGACCACAGAGCGAGGTCACTGACAGTTGGCTATCTAATTAACTCAGCTCTCAATTAACATAAGAAAAAGAGGATCATGGGGGACCAACAGGCACCGATTGGGGAAATTTTCTATATAGAGGGAGCAAGTAGCTACAAGTAGTACAGTGTGGATTTAACTTGTATTCAGATCATATCTTAGCATTTTACATAACCATATTGACTTTATAAAGGCAAAATACCTACTGATAAGCATTGTGACATCACATGGTCAATCAAAAATTATGCGCAGTAAATGTGTCACATTAAATGCCCTCTTATAATAGTGCGCAGCTTAAGATAACTGCGTATGATAACCAGATGCCTGCCAATCAAGGCCTCCAAAATAATTGGCTTAAGTCTGCTCAGGAGCTGTCTTAAACTTTGGGTAAATTAGATTTCAGCAGCTTTCAGAAAAGTGACAATACTTGTATTTTGGAAGTGTATGAGTATTTTACTTCATTACTTCTACTGTCACATTAAATGCCCTCTTATAATAGTGCGCAGCTTAAGAAAACTGCGCGATCATGAAGTACCTCAAAAAAGTAAAAATCTTTGAGTGATAATCAGACAGGCGATCAGCTTGTAAAAGTCATGGGATCATTCCTGGCTGACCTAAAGGTTTATAATTATCATTGCAGCATGAGCTAAATCCAGGATTTTGTTTCAGAATCTGAGACAAAGTTACCCAATCCCTTTAAGTGTGGGTAAAAGGTTGTAGGAGGTTGCCAGACTTACCATGTTGTGCTTGTTGATTTCTGCCAAGCGAGGGCACACTACCTTGGTGACGTCAAGAGCCTTGCTGGAATCCATGAACTTCATGGCTAGCTCAGCAGCCTGTATGATAGACGAGACACAAATGCAATGTCAAAGTTCAGGGAGTGTTTCACAAAGATCCTAAGTTAAACTTATCTCTAAGTTGGACTTAACATGGAAAGCCGTTAGCATCTTTGAAAGTATTTTGTAAAAGTTATTTTAAAAGGCATAGAATTTCGATTCAAATCATTCATACTTTCTATTATCAAGGAGATTTCATGTTCTTGATTTGGAATTTATGAAAAGTCTAAAATACTTGAATTTTTTGCTTTGAACATATTTTATTTTAAGGCTACAAATGGCTCTCCATAAGTTTTAAGTCTAATTTAGAATTAAGTTTGACTTAGGATCTTTGAGAAAAACCCCACAGGTTTAAGAAAAAGAGTACTCCACTTTGCCGAAACCTTTATGCCGTCATTCATAGTTTCTCAAACCTAAGTAATTAGTATCTGGGCTCTGTTGCGTAAACCTTATCGTTGATGGTTACTTTGTCATTAATGGTAACTTCCATGAAAACCTTGATTTGATTGGCTGTTGAGTGACGTTGCCATGGTAGTTGATGATGGCAAAGCGTTCCGATCCTGAACATCAAAATCACATATGGATTAAGATGCCATCTTTTCTTATTTTTTGATAAATTACAGGTCAACAAAATTTGAGTGTTTCTTGAATACTTAGTGATTCATCATTATTTAAAATTACAAAATTTTGATTATTTTATTCTCAGTTTCATTATTGCACATTGTACTTTACACTGCAAATCTACTATTTTAGTCTATAAATTTAGATAGAATATCTAAAACCTTCATGAACCTTACAATACCAAGTGAAATCAGATTGAAATAAAAGGACTACAGTGAAACCTGTCTATAAAGACCGCCCAAGGGAGACAAGAAAAGTGGTCTTCATAGGCAGGTGGTCTTTAAGTACAGGTTCCTTTAGTACATGTTTCAATGAGAAACCATTTTCAAGGGAAATAAAAAATGTGGTCGTAGAAAGGTGGTCACTATTAAAAGCAGGTTTGATAATGTAATTACCTTGTTCCAGCATTGCGCCAGGAGATCAGTATCAGTAGTGAGTTGAGGCGTGAGTTTGAGATAACAGTCTACCGCCCTCGCGTACTCTGCGGATGCTTCCCATTCTTTACCTTGCTGTACGAGGTTGTTAGACCCTCTGAAAGAAATCAAGAAAAAAAATTGTGTGTAAAATTATCGTTACCGTAAATCTCCATGTATATGACGCACCCCTATTTCTTTAATTTTTTTTGCTGAATTCGTAGGCAGCAAGCCAGGTCCTTGTTCAAAAACGCAAGCAGGGAAGTGCCTTTATTTTACTGCGAGGTGCAGTTGAAGGCGTCAATTTGTGCTTGTGAACTTGTCACAAATAATAGTAACAATGTCGTTTTTAAAACTAAAGATGACAGACAAATCAGATTCAGGCTTACCCGCACAAAAGGTATGCTCATTCTCCACCCCCTGGGGAGCATTCCAGCCAGTCGCCATTTTACAAGCGCCATTGCTAATCAAACCACATTAGCTTTCGCATCCTACCGGGTACCCATTTTAACACCTGGGTGGAGAGTGGCAAATGTAGATAAATGTCTTGCCAAAGGACATTAGTGCCGCTGCGGGACTTGAACCGCGGACCTTGTGATCCACAGTCCGGTGACATATCCACTCGACCACGACACCTCTTTCTATATCTTACCTAGTGCCTTTGTTCAGGACCTCTCTATCATATTCATCCTGTAGCTGTTGTAGTTTATGAGGGATATACTCCTTACAGACTCGTAGAGCGTCCTGCCACATCTCAGCATTCTAAACAAAATTTACAGAAAGATATACAAGTCAATCCAACCCGTCAATATTATGCATATTGATTACATTTAAAGCAGTCACAAGGATTAAAGGGGGAAGTCTATCTTAGTAGCAAGTGAGTTTTAATAAAAGCAGGAAAATGAGAGAAACAGATAAGTGAGGTACGAGAGATCTGATAAAGGATAAGAAAGCTGTAAATTCTTAAAGTTTCTATTGATCGCACAAAAATTGATTTGATTTGATTTGATTTTCTTCCTCATTCACGTAAGTACACAGTTTTTCAATAACAATAGTAGTATAGAGTACAATAAGTATTTTTCTGACAGGGGGGAGGGAAGGATGGAAGAGAAGGGGGGGGGCGTGCTGCTGTGTGCACCTCTGTAGCTACATCACTACCTGTAGAACATCAAAGAGACCTTACCTTGTAGTACTTGACAGCCAGCTCAGGTCTCTGTGCCCTGAGGAGGAAGGACTCTGCTTTCTGGAACTCCTTCTGTTCAAAGGACTGCCTAGCCTGGCCCACCAGGACGTCAGAGACGCTCTCAGAGTCGTAGTCTTCGGCGATCCTCTGGGCCGAGTCCCAGTCCTGGTTGTGTACGTACCTGAAGAAAAAATAAGATACCTAGGAGTTAACCCATTGCGTACTGGAACCGGGTGGCTCGTGTATTAAACCAATGGGGAACATAAGCATTCAGTAGCCAATGGGTTCATGCATTTTTGTGTGATTTGCTATTAATCAATTATTTTCAGTTCTGTATTTTGATATCACATGTTTCTGCCAAATAAAATAATAAATAATAATAAATAAATAATAAACTTGTGATGGACACAGCAGCGCATTAGCACCACCTGACTGAGAAGAAGAAGAAATGTAAAATGGAAGAATGACTTACATGAGGACGGCTTCCTTAGGTTTGTTAGCCTTGATGAACTGTGCCTCGGCCTCCTTGTACTTGCCTTCATCTTCTAGAAACATGGCATGCTTGAGATGAATGTCACCCATCTTATTCTTCATTGCTGAACGGGCCAGGTCAAACGCAAACTCAAACGCACTGTACAAGAATGAAGAGATATACATTTCGAGTGTGAACAGAGCATGTCAAAGGGGGAACAACACATAAATCAATTTTCTAGAAACATGGCATGCTTGAGATGAATGTCACCCATCTTATTCTTCATTGCTGAACGGGCCAGGTCAAACGCAAACTCAAATGCACTGTACAGGAATGAAGAGGTTTACATTTCGAATGTGAACAGGGCATTAATTTTCTAGAAACATGGCATACTTGAAATGAATGTCACCCATCTTATTCTTCATTGCTGAACGGGCCAGGTCAAACGCTAACTCAAACGCACACTATACAGAAATGAATCCTGGATTTAGCTCATGCTACAATGATAATTATAAACCTTTAGGTCAGTCAGAAACTCCATGACTTTTACAAGCTGATCGCCTGTCTGACTATCAAGATATTTATGATTGGAAATCAAAATCCAACTTTGTGTTTTCCCAAGTTTTCATAAAACTACAGTCTATTGGGTAAAACGAGTATGGTTAAACCGGTCACTAAAAGGTTTTCACTTTTTTGAGGCACTTCTTGATCATTTTGAAGGGCAATATTTTTAGAGCTTCAATATAACATCATATCACAGACACTGATAACACATAGGGCCGTGCATCTGAGATTTAACATTGTTAAACGATCCCTTTCAACTTACCAGTTGTCAGCAGCATAATCGATGGCAGCCTCCAGCAGCCCAAACTTGGTGAGCAGTTTGACGGCTGAGTCTCCCCCCAGACTCTTGGCCCAAAGGTAGGCCACCTGCTTGGAAGCATTGGCCCCTCCATTGGCCTTGGCGACCTGATGAGGAGGATGAGGAGGAAGAGGAGATGGAGATGAAATACAATTAATTTCATATCAATATCATCTATTATATACCTCACTTAAGAAATCCAGCCATCTGATTGGTCGAATTGCATTCATAAACTTCAACTGTTCCTGTAAAATTCTCGGTAACCATGCATAAAACATTTCAATATTTTTAATAACCATGGTTATTAAAAAAAGTTGGTCAGCCTCCATGGTTACCCCATAGGTTTACATGTTAAAAAATGGTTTGAGCGATGGAGGATGCCGTATGTGTGCGAAGGATTGGTCGGTAATTTCAATACAATTGAATCTCGATCGATCTTACCGACAATTTTATCTTGCATTGTTGACATGAAGACGAAAATAAACTTCCAAAAACAAAAAAAACAACATCTGCCGATAGATCTTGATCTAAGTTCGTGCCAATATGCATTGCAAAAGTAAAAGAAGAGTCCGTATATGGAGCTTTTGCGAAGCATTCATCACACGCGAAGCCGGTTTCAATCCATTTTAATGTATATATTGTACAAAACTGCCATACATGTTAACAACGCGCGATGGCCGAGAGGTCTGAGGCGCTGACTTTAGACACATCACCTTTTGTACGCAAGAGTTCGAATCTCATCTTCGACCAAAAAAAAAAGTATTTTTTATTTTTTATTTTTTAGTCTATTTTTTTTCGGCATATAAAAGTATTAATGACTGCTTTAATATTCGAGAAATAGTTGTTTTCATACGCTCTCGGGAAGGTTACAATTGGGCTATTCCCCTCGGCAAGCCTCGGGGAATAGCACAATTCTAACCTTCCCTTGAGCGTAATAAAACAACTATTTCTCTCAAAGCAGTCATTAATACTATATTATAAAAGGCAAGGATATTGTACAGTGGATAGTCCGGTTTCCCCCCCCCCCCCACACTTGGCTGTTTCTTCTTGAACAAAGAAGGTATTTCTCGGTCATTGAGGAACCACCACTTCCTAATTTTCATCTCCACTTTTGAAATATAAAGTTATTAAAAAGCCAAGTAATACTACGATCGAAAAGTGGCCAAGAGCGTGGCCAAGAGCGTGGCCAAGAGCGTGGCCAAGAGCGGCGATAATGCCCAGATTTGATGATTTTTGTTCAGATCGGGGTGATTGGCATGGTCTTCGAAAGGTCACACAGCTGTGTGAATGGGGTATAAGCGACAGGACGCTGGTTCAAAACCACCATGCATAGGGTAATCCTTACCCATAACTGCCAACCTCTGGAGTTCAAAAACTGTATTCTTTAATCCCAAAAGTTGCATTTTACTGACACAAATTGTATTAAAAAAACAAAAAAACACGGATCAATGCCTCTTTAACAGTTTCTATATACAGGAAGAATTTTTTAAGGATCATTGGTTGAATATGCATGATTTTGTCATGGCTGGTGTGTTTGATGAACCAATGAACATCCCCAAATTGCCGATGTGAGATGCTTGTAGGATACTTAACAGGACAGAATGGGCATTTTGCGATTGAAAATGGCACACACACGCAAAATCTTTTGTTTGTGTTTGGAAAATCATATTTATTTCTAAAAATCCTACAAAATACAATTAAATTGTACTGGTTGGCAGCTCTGCTTACCCTGTATGCTTCGTCCCATAGATCAGCTGTCCTGTACATGTTAACGGCAGCCTTCCAATCCTTAGCCTCCAGGTAATGCTGCTCAGCTTGACGCATCGCCCCGTCATTTTCAAGCTCCTATACAAGGAAGACAAAAATGTTTTGTAGTATTGAAAATGGAGCAAAAGATGCAAAGAAGTTGGTTTACACAAATGTTTGTAAGTCAGCAATGGAAGAGCAAAAGAGAAGGATACAATGGGGGATGGTAGGAATAAAAAAAAAAATAGTATTGAAAAGATGAAAATGGTTATTTCAATTTTTTGAAAAATTCACTCTTTTGCATAATTAAGGTAATTTATGCAAATAAGGTCATAAAAATCACATTTTTACCCATAAATCATATATTATTCATATTTAAGCATTGTTTTTCTCTACATATATTTGATAGACCATTTGAAATGATAATACAACAACAAAAACTGGAAGAGCCAGGTTATTCCTTATGTTATCTTTTGTTTTGATAATTTCTTATGTACCTCAATATTTGTTTAACTTATGTATTTTATTGTTTTTGTTCCTTTATTTCATTTCTAATTACAATTCAACTATTGGGACCATACCTTCGCAAGGTGAAGATGAGTGTCCTGTAGCAGGTCAGGATGATGTTGCTTGACCAGTCGTATCATGTGGTCAAACTGACGCTGTTTCTTGTACATGGTGATGGCTAGATCGGGCTCCCGGACGGTCAAGTACAACCTGAACATAGGAAGACATATCATTACTGTAGAATCAGGTGCCCTGTTTTAGTAACCAATAGCAAATGCTAAATTTCTATGACACATTTGCTCTCAGCCAATCAAATGCCACAATTTCAGTAGGTTATAACATTATTGTAACATGTTATTGTTAATACATTTTTTTCCAAAAAAAACGGTTAAAAAAAAAACCTTTTTAAAAAGCCGACTGTCGATTTCAAATTTTGTGGGTCAATCGCAAAGGGCAATACAACATTTTTTTTTTTTTAGGCCTAGTGGATACATCACTGCACTGTGGATCACATGGTCTGCCGGGGCATTAATGTCCTTTGGCAAGACATCAATCTACATTTGCCACTCTCCACCCAGGTGAAGTAAAAGAGTACCCGGTAGGAACAAAATTCCTTGATTGCTTTAGTGCCTTATCATGGCGACTCAGCTACTGCAGGGTTACCTTGGATCTCGTGACCACAAAATCTAATCAGTTCATTGGCTCTGCAAGATACATACATGACCCAAGTTTGGCGGGAATCCATCAATGGTCCATCAATGGGATAACGCGATCACGAGCTATTTTCGCATACATAATGAGCCCTGTGACCTTTTACCTTGTATCTCGTGACCCAAAAATCTAATCAGTTCATTGGCTCTGCAAGATACACACATGACTCAAGTTTGGCGGGAATCCATCAATGGGTTCTTGAGATAACGCGATCACGAGAACGGGACGTACGTACAGACGGACGGACGGACAACCCGAAAACATAATGCCTCTAGCTACTTTGTAGGGGAGGCATAAAAAGAAGCATTTATTTGAATGAATGCAATGTTTGGAAACTTCAGCTTACCTCTCAGCCTCCCTGAACTTGCCCTGGGCCTCCATCTCTTGAGCCTGGTTGACATACAGAACTTTAATGTCTTCTCCTTTCATGCACGTCATAGCAAGCTGAAAACAAAATGGATATATTTTAAAGATTTTTTATTTCACCATAAATGAATTATCAAATCATAAATTTGCTACATTTATGAAGAAACATAGACTGGGATTGAATTTGAATGATGCAGAAAATGGTCATGTTGTTTTCTGAGAACAAATGAAATAAAATTACTTTGTTATTATTAGTATCACTTTACCATCATCAATGTAATCATCATCAACACTGCCATAATCAATATCGTTATCATCATATCATAACCATCATCAACAATATCATCACCGTCACCACATCATCATCAACAATCATCACAATCCCCATCACCACCACCACCACCACCACCACCACCATCACCATCACCCCTATCAGCACCGCCACTGTCACCATCATCTTTATCATCACCATCACCACCTCCACATCATTACCAACACCAACAATATCATCATCATCATCGTCATCATCATCATCATCACCACCACCACCATTACCACCTGTATCACCACCACCATCACCATCAACACCACCACCACCACCACCACCACCACCACCACCACCACCACCACCACCACCATCATCATCATCATCATCACCACCACCATCACCATCAACACCACCACCACCACCACCACCACCACCACCACCACCACCACCACCACCACCATCATCATCATCATCATCATCATCATCACCACCACCACCATCATCACCACCACCACCCCTATCCCCCCACCACCACTGTCACGATCATCACCAACACCACCAACATCCTCATCCCCTCCCCATCCCCAATCTCACTCACCCTATGTGCCTCCTCCCACTTCCCGGCCGCGGTGTACATATCAATCGCCTCCTTGGTCTGGCCGGCCTGGATGAAGTACCTCTCGGCGTTCTCATAGTCGTGGATCGTCACGTAATGCTTGGCGATGACGGGGTAATAGCGTTCTCCGATGTCCGCTTCCTGGAGCTGGATGATCTGCTCCGCCTTGGCCCATTGGTGCGAGTCCACTGCTGCCTTGATTGCTTTGTGCGATGCACTGCATGTGGAAGTAGATAAACCGGTCAATTGCCACTAGGGGGTGTTTCACGAAGATTCTAAGTTGAACTTAGACTTGGACTTAAAAATTATGGAGAGCCGTTTGTAGCCTTAAAATAAAATACATTCAAAAGGAAAAATTTCAAGTATTTTAGAGTTTTCATAAATTCTACATCAAGAACATGAAATCTCACATGATAATAGAAAATATGAATGATTTGAATCAACATTTTATGCCTTTTAAAATAACTTTTACAAAATATTTTCAAAGATGCTAATGGCTTTCCATAATTGTTAAGTCCAACTTAGGATCTTTGTGAAACAGCCCCCAGGTCTACAACCAGTTTGTCTTGTACCCAATTGGTCTATTCCAACATGGTCTACACCCAACCCGTCTAGTCTACTACCCACCTGGTCTAATATTCATTTCGTCTATTTATCATTTGGTCTAATGTCCATATGGTTCAATCTCCAACTAGTCTACTACCAATTTGGCTTGTAAAAGTCATGGGGTTCCTGACTGACCTACAGGTTTATAATTATGATTGCAGCATCAGCTAAATCCAAGATTTTGTTTAGAATCTGAGGCAAAGTTACCCAATACCTTTACAGACCGTCTGTACTAGTTTGGCCAGGAGGGATTAGACCACCCTGCTGGTCACTGACAGGTGGTTATCTCATCAACTCAGCTCTCAAATAACATAAAGAAAAGAGGATCATGGGGGACCAATAGGCACCACTAAGGCATTATTTTCGACGAGTACTTACCCTGCCTCGATGTAATGATTAATAGCAGCGTCTAGCTGTTTCTGAGATACGAGGTGGTCTCCCCACTCCTCTTCCAGCTTTACCACGTCACTAGGAAAGGCCTGGCGTGCCAACTCAACAGCTGAAAGAATCGCAAAATGTATTGAAAATAGGGTGAATATTTCATCAGCTACTGTATGAAAAGATAATATACAAGGTGAGTGAAGTATTCCTTGACATCCTTCTTGATTGAACGTTTTTGCCTCTTTACAAATAATCTCTACATCCTCCTTCTACTATTAAAGTGATACCCCCCTCTTCATTCTTTTTGAAATTCACCACATCAGCAGGGAAGGCGCTGCAGGCCAACTCAACGGCTGAAAGAATGGACCCCAAAAAAGATTATGTTCATGGTGTTTGCATATGGAAATTTCATTTCAATGATATCAAATTGTCATGTACAGTTACTAATTGATTTGCTTTTATCTGAGACTGCACACTGTGTTACTGAATGCTTCTCTCTACTCATAACTAATGATGGTAACAATGTATTCTTTTTATTCTTTGCAAAAGCACGTTCTAAGGTGAGTATTCAAAAGAGTTTCTTTTTTCCCCTTTTCATAGTTACACCGAGAAGAAAAGCTCTGGCGTTTGTGAATAAAACAGCATAGTTTGGGGGCCCACTGGGATAACACATGTACTTGTTTGTAACCAGGGGGGTGTTTCACAAAGATCATAAGTTGGACTCAACTCAAATTTGATAATAGAAAATATGAATGATTTGAATCGACATTTTATGCCTTTTGAAATAACTTTTACAAAATATTTTCAAAGATGCTAACGGCTTTCCATAATTGTTAAGTCCAACTTAAAGATAAGTTCAACTTAGGATCTTTGTGAAACACCCCCAGATTAAAATATAAACAGGGGGTGTTTCATAAAGCTGTTCGTAAAGTTACAAATGACTTTAGGAACGACTTGAATATGAAGTGCCAGATAGGATGCCCAAAGTTTTTCCTGATGTTTTAACAAAGTGTGACTATATTTCCAATAACCTCAATTAAATTATGGCAAAAAATATACTTTCCCTCAAAAATGTTTGTTATAATAAGAATGTTAATCTACATCTGCACAGTTCAACTTTAGTTGATGCAGTTAAAAATGATTGAGCATCCCATTTGGATTTTTCATATATAAGTCATGCGTAAAGTCATGCGTAACTTTACGAACAGCTTTATGAAACACCCCCTGGGAATAAAATCCTTACCCCTTCTGTAAGACCTTCCTCTGCGGTAGCACTCTAGGGCTCTCTGCTCATCCCGCGTCTTCTCAAACAGATCTCCAGCCTACAGAGACATGGATAGCACATATTTGAACTTAGATGGTATCCCGCATGCTCAAGGAAATCTTACAAAACTCAATTTTCTGAGTAAAAATCATTTGTAAAAATTTGTTACTGCAAAGCATCAATATTAAGAAGAAGAAAAAAAAGGGGAAAAAAAAAAGTATTTTGATTTTCTTCAGTCATACATAAAAACAGTATGCCTGTCAATCAAGGCCTCCAAAACACACTGACACAACACAAAGTATGCATCAAGCATGAGTAAAATATGCAGTTCAATAATAAACTAAAACAGACTACTGATTTTTATATTCTATTTCAAAATAATAATAATTAAATAAGCATATCATTCCAAAATGTAATGACTAAATACTAAATATAGGATATATGACGAACCCTTTCATAGAATTCTCCCTTGATAAGTGTCGTTGCGATGCGTTGTACCAGCTCACGGTTATCCATCAGCTCCTCGTTGCTTGTAACGAGTCGCGCTGCACGAGACGGCATCCCGGCCTTCATGTAGAGACTTATGGCAGCGTGAACATCGCCCTCGTGCTCCTTGAGCTCGCCAGCCTTCTCCTCTTGCCGAGTGTCCATCAGCCATTGGTAGTAGTTCCGCCGCAAGGTCTCCAGCTCAGGGTGACCCTTGACATGAAAGTGATGGCACAGAATGAATTAGCATGAGGGAGGTATCTCCTGTAGGAATATGTAGCCCCCTCTTTGACATCGATCATCCAGGGCCGTTTCATAAAATTTGCTTTTAAAGCCTGTCTGCACTAGTCTTTGCCAGGAGGGATTAGACCACCCAGCGGGGTCACAGGCAGGTGGTTATCTCATCAACTCAGCTCTCAATTAACATGAGAAAAAGAGGATCATGGGGGACCAACGGGCACTAGCTGCTTAGGCATTGTTTTCTATGTAGATGGACCAAGTAGGTACGAGTAGGACACTGGGGCTTTAAATTCATTGTTTAACAATGATAAATCTGAGATATGGCCCTACCTGTTATCAGTGTCTGTGATATGGTGTAATATTGAAGCCCTAAAAAAGTTGCCCTTCCTAATGATCATGAAGTGCCTCAAAAAAGTAAAAATCTTTGAATGACCAGTTTTGCTCAAACTTTTTTTGATTGGTTTGTCTGATTTTTCTGCTTCTATTGAAATTAACTCATTTTTTGGAGTGGACTTGCCCTTTAACATGATAAATATCAGGATAGGCATAACAACAGGTTGTGACAAGAAGAAAGTGTAGAAGAAATATAATCTCACCTTTCCTTGAGCTACGTTGATAGCCTCATCCCACTTGTGGAGCTCCTGATACATCTCCATGGCTTCATCAATAGCATTCTAAAGGGAACAATCAACCAAGAAATAATCAGCATCATAACAAAAGTAGTGCTGTGGTCAAACGTTGTGGATCACATGGTTCGCTGTTCGAGTCCTGTCGTAATATGTTTTGGCAAGACATTAATCTACATTTGCCACACTCCACCCAGGTGAAGTAAATGGTAAATGGGTACCCAGTAGGAAGAAATTCCTTGAATGCTTTAGCGCCTTATCTTTGTATCAAGCGTAGTAGAGTATATTTACGTAGTAGCTGTGCTATATAAATGTACCTATCATTATTTGGCGGCCTGTATTTGTTTTGTACAATCATATTTTGACAAAAACCAAACAGAAGAACTCTCATTGTATAACACTACCACTCTAAAAACTCAATTACCTTTTTATTCTCTGTCAAAAAAAAATTGATAAAAATATAAAAACTTCTGCTGCCTTGCTTTTGTAATATTTCTAATTATACTCAAGCTAACTTTTAAAAACGTCTAATTTCTGTTTAAATCTCTGGGTCTTACTTGCTCAAGGTAGATAGTTTCTGCATCCCAGAAATCCTTATTGAGAGCAGCCAGCTTGGCTCGTACACTGTAATGATTCATACCGTCTTCTCCCTGTAAACATAAGAGAACATAGAATATATAAGGAAAATGAAAAGCCTTTCTCAATCCTTAACCTGTAAACATTACTTCAGAGGGGAGCTAGAACCTGTAAGGCAAACATCCTTTCCAAACAAGAATATTAATTCATAGGCTCTTGATATCTCTGACCCGAACCTCTGATAAAAATCACCAGAATTAAATGGACATAAATTAACAGTTGAGGTGTCAGATAAATCTTAGATAAGCTTCCTGATGGTCAAAATCAAACCCTTTTGTTGCAGAAGTAGACATACATTTTGAATAATTCAGCAATTGGTCTACTATCACAAAAATACATGTCAAAAATTTACAGACTTATAATAATGATTTCAGCCAAATTCTTCTTTTAAACATTGATTTAATAATGCTCCCCTCTAAAGTGTCTGTATGAGTGGGCCAAAAGTGTGTTCCTGGTCAATTTTGTTGTTGTTTTTTATTTTTATTAAACTGAAGCGAACTAAGAAAACTGTGAAAAGACTACACAGAGATTAAAGGGACTGGGTAACTTTGTCTTTTGTCTCAAAATCCTGGATTTAGCTCATGCTGCAATCATAATTATAAACCTTTAGGTCAGTTAGGAACCCCATGACTTTTACAAGCCGATCGGCTGTTTGATTATCAAGATATTTATCATTGGAAATAGAAATCAAATTTTGCGTTTTCCTAACGTTTTTAATAACACAACAGTCTATTGGGGAACAGGAGTATGGTAAACCCGGTCACTCAAAAGATTTTTACTTTTCTGAGGCACTTATTGATCATTTTGAAGCGCAATTTGTTTAGGGCTTCAATATTACACCATATCAGAGACACTGATAACACATAGGGCCGTGCATCTCAGATTTAACATTGTTAAACAATGCCTTTAAGATATACTATTCACCGTTTCTTTGCTAATCTCGCCGGCGAGCTTGTTTATCTTGCGAAGGTACCTGGCCTTTGCAACATCCCCGAGGGCAGCAAAGCAGCGTTCTGCGATGTGAAGCTGTTTGGCGCCCAGAGACAGCTTGGCCAGAGTCTTCCACATGGCCTCCGTCTCGGATGTCATCTCGAGGGTTTCCAGGAAGGCTACAGCTCTGGTGGTGGAAAGAAGCAAGGTGTTTGGAAAGTGGAATAAAAAGATGAAAATTTCTAAAACAAAGCCCTAAATAAAATTGAAGAATGGATTTGTATGGAAAGTAGGAAAGATGAACATCTAATGCAAAGCCCAAAATAAAAGTTAAGGAGAAGGAGGAGGAAATGGAAGTGGAGAAGAAGGACAGGAGGAGAAGGTAGAGACAAAAGAGAAAAAGAAGAAGAAAAAAAATAAAGGAGGAGAAGACAAAGGACAAGAGGGGAGGAGGAGGAGGAAGAGGAGGGGAAGGGGAGGGGGAGGAGGGGAAGAAGAAGAAGAAGAAGAAGAAGAAGAAGAAGAAGGAGAAGAAGAAAAAGAAGAAGAAGAAGAAAAAGAAAAAGTAGTAGAAGAAGAAGAAGAAGAAAAAGTAGAAGAAGGAGAAGAAGAAAAAGAAGAAGAAAAAAAAGAAGGAGAAGAAGAAAAAGAAGAAGAAAAAAAATAAAGGAAGAGGAGAAAAGGACAAGAGGGAGAAAGAGGAGAAGGTAAAGATGAACAACATGAAGAAGAAGAAGAAGAAAGAAAGCAAAAGAATAGGTACACAAAAATTGCACCAACCTGGCATGATCCCCATCATCTATGGCCGTACCAAACTCAATCAGCCCCTCGTCAAGGGTGTAAGAAACGGAGGTGACGCCTTCGTTCACGATCACATCGGTCTTACCGTCGGCCCTCTCAAGATCAACAATGTCGCCCTGAAATAGTCACACATTGTCAAATCATTTTCCAAACTTCATGTTGAGACTATAAGAACATTCACTTTGTGCATGTTATTTTCCACAACAATTGAATGATATACACATAATATACAAAAGTCTACCATACACTTTATAAGCACTGTTTTTATCATTATTATCATTATAATTAGAAGTGGTTGTGGCTTTAGCAATTCGAGAATTCGAGAATTCAAACCCTTGATCCACGAAAATATCATTACCCCAACATATTGGCTTGTACGGTATTGGATCTAGGACTTTGGGATGAAAAAAATATCTTACCTTCATAGGAAACATGGTGACTCTCTCAGGATGATCAATGTTGTACCAGACGCATAAGTTGCCTCTGTTCTGAGCAACAACAACATCACTCTGCGGCACCCACTAGCAACATTATGAAGAAACAAGGGAGATACGTTTGAAACAATAGACGCGTATCTGCTGTATTGCATTCATTGGCAACCATATTGATGAGCATGTACAAAAGTTCCTATTCAATGTTGTACCACACACAAAGGTTGCCTCTGTTCTGAGACACTACGACATCTCCCTGTAGCATCCACTGGCAACATTGCAAACAACAATATAAATAAGTAAGAAACATTACATCTCTTGCATTTCCTTTGTAAGGGTGTAGATAATACAGATAAAATGTAAATACAAATTATGTGTAAAATATATTCAAATGAAAAGCAACTAAGAATTAAATATAAATAGTACAATCATCTCCTACTTGAAGGAAGGAACATCTGTCTCATACCGTCACTTATAAATAATGCCATTTCTCTACCTTTTCAACGACTCAATGAGCTCGTTATACAATATTTCCAAGTAGTACAAGAGTAGTATGACAGCTTAAAGCCCCACTGCACTACGTGTAGCTACTTGCTCCCTCTAAATAGAAAACAATGCCTAAGTGGTGCCCGTTGGTCCCCCATGATCCTCTTTTTTCTCATGTTAATTGAGAGCTAAGTTGATGAGATAACCACCTGTCAGTAACCATGCTAATCCCTCTAATCCCTCCTAGCCAAACTAGTGCGGAGGGGCTTTAAAAGGCGAAACGTTGATTGGTGTACTGATGAACATACCTGTACATAGCTGCTGTAGTTCAAAATGGTGGTCTTCAACTGAGTATCAACGTCAAACAGATGGAGCTGCGAATGTTGGGCAAGAAAACAAAAAAGAATTATATTTATTTATGACAAGTCATGTACATAATAAAATTTGGAATCTCTTATAACATGACTAACTATATAGACTCTTAACAGATAAAGATAAGGCTGGAGTTAGGGTAAGGGTAAGAGTTAGGGATATCGATAGGATTAGGGTCAGGGTTAGAATTATGATTAGGAGGATCAGCATTAGGATTGGGATTAGAAATAGGGTCACGGTTAGGATAGGGTTAGGTTATGATTAGAATGAGGATCAGGATCAGGATTAGGATTAGATATGGTTGGAGGTATAGGGTCAGGGTTAGGCTCTAGCTAGGATCAAAATTAGGGTCAGGGTCACTTGAGTGAAGGAGTGTTCTTGAGTTGTTCCGCTTAATTTAACATTTAAAATGATTAATATTATTCATACATGAATATTAATAATAAATAAACAGTTGTCAATGAGACCATATGATCATATAGTTAAATTTAAAAGTATGATTTATTGTTCTAAAAATGTTAGTGTTGAGTTTATAAAGGTTAAGCTTAAATTATTAATATGACCCACTTGCTGATTAATGAGCAATGTGTAATTTAAAATGTGTTCAATTGACCTATGCTTTATGTACTGTATATAGTTGTAACCATGTGAAAAAAGAATTTCCACTTAATGTGGACAATAAAACAAATCAAATCAAATCATAAAAATTAATTACCCTAAGTTTCTTGTCCCTGTAGAGCAGTTTGTGTCCTGTCTCATTCAGCTCCAGCCAGTCCACCTTAGAGTCATGGGCCAGGTTAGCCACATTGAAACCCAAGGCCAGGTTCACAATGGCTATGGTCTTCAGATCTACAAGATATGCCATCTTCTTGTTGTCATCTACGTTGAGCTGCTTGCGTTCGTTAAGCCTCACGCTGCATGGTCAGAGGAAGGGAAAAATGGAAACAAGAGATAGTCAAAACTAACAACCCAACAAGATGAATGATAGCTATGGTCTTCTGGGGGCCGTTTCACAAAGACTAAGATCGACTTTATGTTGGACTTAACTATGGCAAGCAGGCGCTATCCATGCCACTAGTTCCTCTAACCATTCCTGGCATTGGTTTCTCAAGGGAAGTACCAATTGTCACAAATCTACAGAATTTGAATTTGTTGGTAGTTCATTATTGAAGGAATTTTTTTTATCTAAAGATCATAATTGAGAGACCACTGGTGAGAGCAACCAGTGGCATTATTTTCTTCATCTACAGAATGCTAGAACAAGTTTATTTAGGTTGATTTTATACATTCTACCTTAACACAAATGATTTTTTCAGGTGACTGGTACGCTTAACACATCGACCGCTATAACATAATTATATGTAACATTGTACAGTGTTCATTGTTCGAAAGGATGTGGTCAATGACCTTCTGGGCCCCGTTTCACAAAACTTGTCATCAGTGACAAATGACAGTTTTTGTTATAAGCTACTGAAATCCTTGCCTCTGATTGGTTATCAGCAGATTTGTCACTGATATTTGTCATTTGTCATTGAAAAAAGGCTTTGTGAAACACCCTCCTGGTTACTGACCTGATAAGGTGAGGGTTCATGAACTCTGTCCTCACGCATCCCAAGATCTCATTGGCCCCGTACTCTACCAGGGTCAACTCACCAGCATTGAAGATCATACACACCTGGTCAAAGGTCAAAAGGTCAAAAGGTCATAAGGTCATTTCATCTAAGAACTGTGCATGTTCACATTTGACAATCAAAAATTGTTTTCACTTTCTCCTGAAAATGATACTTTGAACTTTCACTGGGATTAAATTTTTAACTATTGACAAGAATTTGGCTTCTGCATGCCGATTGATGCAGGCCTGCAATTCAAAAAACAATCATAAATGTTACAAAACTTCTCAAAGTACAAACTCATATTTCATCTCAAACACTTCATTGAAAGTTTGATTTCAATTTTCACAAAAATTTCTATCTGCAAACTTGAGGCCTGCAAGTTTAGCATCATCATAAACAAATACTTGAAAAGATACCAAATTAAACCTTTTCACACAAAAAAATAGTTTTTGTTTAATGCTAAATATATTACTCATTGCAGATGGAAGTATCGAAAATAATATCGCTAGTGATATTAGTTTGTCTCGCAATTTATGGTCAACAAGGGATCTAAAAGATCACGACGTTTTATGCGCCGCTGCAACACTTCGTCAGGTGATAAAATATATTGTAAGCAAGTGTGTTTTATACTCTACGGGTTGACCTGACAAAGTGTTGTAGCGGCGCACGAAACGTCGTGATCTTTTAGATCCCTTGTTGACCATACATTGCGAGATAAACGAATATCACTAGCGATATTATTTTTGATAGTATTTGTTTATTTACTCACATTCTCATTCTCGAAGAAGAACTTCTCGTTGCCTCCGGTGTTCTGCCACGGAACCTCACTGAGCTTGTTGGAGCTAAGATCACCCAGGAGGAGGGTGTCTGACGTGTGGGCCACCAGGTAGCGGTCCTTGCCAAGGATACGCACCTCATCGATCTTAATACAAAAAAAGAAAGAGTAACGGTCACAAAAATGTTTGAATCCAATGACCGGGGTAATAATGATATATATTTTGTAAAGCACTTTGAGAAGGCCTGTGGTCCTGAAAAGCGCTATATAAAAACAAACTATTATTATTATTATAGAGAAAGAGGAAGAGAGAGAGAGGAAGAGAGAGAGGAAGAGAGAGAGAGAGAGAGAGAGAGGGAGGGAGTTGAGGGGGGGGGGGCAGGGATGGGGGAGAGAAGAGAAGGTGCTGTGTAGAAAAGGAGAGATTAAAGAGAGAGAGAGAGAGAAAGAGAGAAAAGGACACAGAGAGAGAGAAAAAGACAGAGAGAGAGAGGGGGAGGGGGAGGAGGGGGGGGGGAGAGAAAAGAAAAAGTATTGTGTAGAAAAGGAGAGATTTACGAGAGAGAGGGAGAGAGAGGTAGAACAAGAAAAACACAGAGAAAGGAAGGAGGAGAGGGGAGGGGGGGGGGGGGGGGATTGGGGTAGTTTGTAGAAGTTTAGATCACCCAAGAGGAGGGTGTCTGAAGTGTGGGCCACCAGGTAGCGGTTCTTGCCAAGGATACGCACCTCATCGATCTTAATAGATAGAAAAAAAGAAAGAGCAACGGTCACAAAAATGCTTGTATCAGAAATGCCAACTTTTGGAAAACAGAAATAGAAAGGATTTGCAACAGAAACCAAAAAATGTGCACATAGCGCACATTTTGAGCGCAGAGCGCCCGACTCATGCGGCCAGGGTCCAGGGCCCACCTTGTGTGATATAAAGATATAATATAATATTAGAAGAGAGACAGAGACAGAGCGGGGAAGAAATAAAGAGTGACAACAGGAAAGTTGGAAGGGAAATAAGGAGAGGTGGGGTGAGAAGAGAACAGTGAGAGAGATAGAGGATATAGAGAGAAACAGAAGACAAAGAGAGAGGGAGAGAGAGAGGGTAGAGAGAGCAGACTGTGCCAATTTATCTTAGCTAAAACTCTATTTTGAGATACCTCATATCCATAGTGAGACTTGAGTACCACCCTCGTGCCCGAGGAAAGGTTCTTGACTATGACCTGGCTCAGTCCGACGTAGGTCATCTCAAACTTGTTCTTGAAGATGGATCGGCGGAGGCAACAATCGAACAGCTCCACACCACCGCACAATGTACCCTGAGGACAGTCAGAAAATAAAAGATACATTAAAGGTAAAGATCAGTTTTGGAACGCCCCCCCCCCCCCCCTCTCAAAAAAAGAAATAGTGGAAGCTATCATGTGAAAGAATTTGTTTTGACTAATACGTGATGATACAAATTTTCCTGGGAAACTGCCTACTAATTGATATATTTGGTAAATTATTATATCTATTTGGACCGGATAGATATCGCGCATGGGTCACGCACGTGTCACCCAGTACCATAAACATCTTTCTGTGTACAGTGCTTGTAACTTTACCAAGACTGGGCCAAATTTCTTATCATTTTGATGATTCCAGAACCTTGCAGTACACACCAATATGCTAGATGATCAACCTTTTTCTGATCGATTCCACAACATTTCTTTCACAATGCAATCGCATGAACAGAACTGATCTTTACCTTTAATTACCTACTGTGAAAATGTAAATAGGCATACCTACATCAGGCATTAGAATATAACATCAACTTTAACTTCGACTGAATAAAACTATGAAGAAATTTTGGTTGATTGATAGGGACAGAAAGGAGGGAATAAACATTAGATTTGAATAATTTGTCTTGGAAACCTTAAAGAGAAGGTTGAGATCTGGGAAGAGGTGATACATAATTTGTGAATGTCATCATTCTTATTATGCAAGTGTGGAAGAACATCAGATAAGACATGTTCCCTGAAAAGCATGGCTCTTCAAATGCCTTTATATTCTAAATATGTCATGTAACATCGTAAAACTCGGGGGGGGGGGGGGTAGGATTTTTACGCCACGTGTTCGTGTAGTCCCATATACATCTTTCTGTGTACAGTGTTTGTAACTTTACCAAGACTTGGCCAAATTTCTCATCATTTTGATGATTCCAGAACCTTGCAATGCACACAAAGTCTTATATGCTAGATGATCAACCTTTTCTGGTCGATTCCACACCGTTTCTTTCACAATGCAATCGCATGACCAGAACTCAACTTCATCTGTATATATTTTTAAAATACCCCCTGAGTCAAGCCATCCAGAATTTTGTTTCTAGTACAGCAGTAATATGATCCAAGTCCAAAAGGCTAGGACCTATAGGTGGGTGCAGGGGCATGGCAAGAAAATTTTCAAATGGGGGGGGGGGGGGGGGGGGGGGGGGGCATTGATGGGCCTAATTTGCTGACAAACTATCTGAAAATTGCAATCAAGCAGAATTAAGAAGGTAAAAATATTTGAGATTTGGATGCATTCTGTCAAAAAAAAAAAAAAAAAAAATTAAAAACAGATTGCTACAAGAAAATTTTGAGGGATTTTGCATGCAATGAGTGCATGGGTACAACTTTGCATTTGACTGTACTTAATGGAACCATCTTTCTTCCATGCGAGGGTTGTGATGGTGTAAAGGTTTGGGATCTCCTTCATACGAGCCTCCTCCCACATGCCAAGGAGGGAACCTGTCCCTCCCCCTCCCCCAATACCCTCTCCCAATGATAATCCAGTGAGGAATAAGATAAATGTTGAGTTAACTTACAGCGACCAGTCTGGAACCATCTTTCTTCCATGCGAGGGTGGTGATGGTGTAGAGGTTTGGGATCTCCTTCATACGAGCCTCCTCCCACATGCCACGACGAGGGGCCCAGTTGAACACACGCAGTCTACAACGAGACAAAAAACATATGCATACATTGAAACGAATACTGAACAGAAACTTTGAATAATCATGATAATAATAATAATAATAATATGTCTTGTTTACCCAGGGTAGCCTCATCAGTATTCATACTGTTCTCCCTGAGGGCCCTGCAATCATATCATTACCCTGGCTTTAGCCGAGCTACCATGAAAAGGCGCTCAATCATTCAAGGAATTTCTTCACACCCATTCACCTCACCTAGATGGAGTGTGGCAAATATAGAATAATGTATTCCTAAAAGACATCAGTGCCGGATCTCTTGGATGTAAACCAATGCACGACAAGACCGACAGTTTTTATTTTGTGAGCCTTTGGACAGCTTTTAAGAGGGTTCACGAGACCAGACAGTTTGTCGGACACTTGGGCTCGTCCATCTAATAGGGTGCCCTTGGACATGATTTGAAGTCATCTAATATTATGATCCAGTGCAGAACATTTACACCACTGATCATGTACAAGGATCTTTGTCATAGCTGAAACTTTCAAAAACAAAATCGATTCAAATTGCCTGGGGTTGATTTCTTATAAATCTCTATCATAGTGTTCATCTCGTTTAAAATACCATTTTTTCTCTTCTCAGAGTGGTCAACTTACCTATTATAGCTACCAACAACCACAGACTGGCCACCGGGGTTATTGACAGCTACGGTGAACTCATGCTCCTCAGAGTCGCGACTGAAATCAAACTGCTGATTAACACGCCCTTCCTTGCTGTAAATTGCGATGCGCTTGTCACAGCCGGCAGCCACGATGCTGTTCCCCGCCCAGCAGAGGGCGTACGGAGGGCAGGCGTGGGTGGCGACCTTGCCCTGCGATTCCCCGGACCCCTCGTCTTCCAGGAAGTAACGGACGATGGAGCCGTCGGCGTGGCCAGACAGGACACCCTTACCTGAAAGGCTGCAATTCATACAAATGAAAAAAAAACAATGCTTTCAAAGAATGTGCCTCTGTTTTCCTTCGGCTATCACAAATCAACGACACAATATGTCAAATGTCTGTGAAGTGGTGATGACTCATGAAAATGCATACACTGTCAGAGAACGGAGAGGAAGCAAATCTAAGTTTGGTAAGTACCTATTTTAAGTAGTTTTAAGTAGTTTTAAAGATGTTGTAGACCCTTGTTTATCAGGATTCCTTAAGATACCCTCCTTTCTATTAATCACAGTAAATGAATAACAATGAACAAACAATATCGGCAAAAACGATATCTAATATCTGATTAACAAGTAAAGAAAGAGCAGAAAATCTCAGTGAGTTTTCCATACACATGAGCATGATATGTAGTCTCATATGGGCTAAGCTTTTAGAGAGTTTGTGATTTCAAGCAATTTTTTTCTTCATTTGGTCTATACTGCTGGTCCAATCTATCTATATGTACTGCATGATAAGCCACTTGGAAAGACTTTAAGCAAGATTTTCCAGAATTTCCATTTGGCTCCTGCAACGTACTCAAAATTTACTTTAAGAACCCCGGCTATGACAGGAACTCCGGTACACTTACTTTGGGGCGAGTGAGACGACATAGGAGTCCGTCCCGTAGACCGTGGAGGATTTGTTGGTCTTGGTGTTGGCAACCCTGACCTTGCCGTCTGCCAGACCAAACACGATGTTGCCGTCCGGCGGCCAGATTAGACAGGTCACTGCACTCTGCTGGACAAACTTGTTGCAGATCACCTTCTTGGAATCCCTATAAAACAAGAAATTATACAAATTCTTAACCTCAGGATCATCAGGGATGTAGGTAAATAAAATGTCTACATGAAAGGCAGGTTTCAACATTCAGGGGTGATAGTGAGCACTAAAAAAAAAATTTTTGTTTTGTTTTCCCCCCAACCACGACCACCTTGAGTAAAAAAAAAAGGAGAGGATTCGCATGGAAAATATGACATCTAATAACATTCCTCCCTTTCGAGTAAGAAAATTGGGAAAATCAGGATAAAATAGGGAAAAAAAAAAAATTAAATCAAGAAGAAAGAAAAAAAATCGGGAAAAAAAATCAAAAAATCAGGAAACCGATTTAAATCGGGTTTTTATCAGGCCTGAACATTGTTGCAAAAATCTGTATGCTGTGTAATCTCAAAGTTGGTATTCTTGAAACTGCTTTCCCACAATAATGATTTTGCTTATCTATATTGTTTGTTTGCTTGATTTTAACTCTAAATAATATATGTTTATTCTACTGGCTCATAGTTGTTAGTACTCCTCAACATATTGCAAACATAATATTGCTACAGGGAATAATTTTCCTGGTATCGCATCGCAATTTGCTATGCATTTTTGCATGACTGCTATACAAAATATCTTTTGTGTAGCAGTTTTCTTCCATAGAAATGTACAGAATTTCATTTGAAATATTTATCCATCAGCTGAAATTGCTAATCAAAAAAATTGAGGCAAATTATTCCCTGTGCTATGTATCTTCAAGATATTCTCTGATACAAGATATTATCAACTGAAAGATGTTATATATTTTTCACGAAACAGTTGCAGCACAGTTTAGAAGGATGACACAATTAGTATGAGCAATATTGTTTGAGACAACAGTAGATTGGCACCTGTTTTCAACGTTCTAGCCGAACGATGCTCCACTAGAACAAACGTTTCATACTTTGGTTGCTTTCTCCACCTAACTGCAGTCACTCATCTGCCACATGTGCAATTTTGCACAAAATAATGAGCACCAATTGATGGTCAACAGAATGTCTGAGCAATGTCATGATTAGCTCCATGGCTACCCCTTAAACACCGATGTATATTTATTTTAAGCCTGAGTCATTACGGTTTTTGTGCTAAACGGTTAACCGTTAAAAGTATACGGGCGGTTTCGTTTAACCGTTTAATAATAATCTGAAAAAGTGAAAATACAGTATTTTTAATAGTGCTGTAGCTCGGAACCCTGCTGGTCTTCAGACTGTGGGGCTGAGCATTCCCAGCCCCGGACTATGGCACAAATTGGGTCATCCTGATAAACAGAGACCAGTAATAAACAGCATAAAACATGTCTTATTATTCCTCATCTAAATTTGATATCATGATTAACCTTGCAAAGTTACTCTGTGAAGTTAGCTGATCTGTGACGTGTTTATATATGCCTTTGCAATGCAATGTTTGCACATGGTCAGGGAGAGAGCTCCCTGCATGTATCATTGCCATATGAAATTATGTGGAAGTGTGTATCACACACACCCAAGACACACCCTGCAATGAGCTGATCCAAGTTAGTGACCAATCAGGAAGGTTCTCTAGCTATGTGGGTGGAGTTTGATACCAGCATAAATTACAGGTTGGTGACCGCGCGTGCTTTCACCGTACCCAGTTCAGTGGGAGGTCAAGAAGCCACGCCCACATGTGTGCATGTGACAAGCATGAGCTCTCCATATGTGTGTATGTACAGTGTATTTGGGCGCCGGAGGTGTGTGTACATGTGTGTGACCGAGAGAGCATATGGGCTAGCATGTCCCTGCATGTCCCTGCATGGACGAGGCAGGGACATGAGTGAAGATCGAAGTAAGAAAGGGTGGCTGTGTTAATCAGCTGAATTGAAGAATGATCAAAAACTTAAATTACTCACAAATAATATCCAAGACTTTGTTGATTGATATTTCTAAAACTTCAATTATTATTGTTATCAATATTTTTGTATTTTATTTATATATGAACATTATTTTAGGGGGCGAGTCGGCAAGGGATGGATATTAATATTGAGAGAGAGAGAGAGAGAGAGAGAGAGAGACTCGGGGGAGAAGGGATGTGAGAGGAACTGACCATCGAATGTGTAAACATTTAGAAAGTTGTGAGCTGAGAGTGCAGTAATAAGAAAAGGTACATGAGCGATGAACACATTGCAGAGAGAAGGGAATAAAGAGGGTGAGAAAAGAGAGAAGGGGGCTGGTTGTTTTATTGTTTACAAATTCATTCATGGGGATTACTGCTGCCAGAAAGCTGGCGCGCAGCGGCCAGGGTGTAATATTACACTGCCGTTTCTTTGATTATCTTTATCATCGGCTATTAGCACATTCCAAAATGTATGCAAATAACGGTTAACCGGAGCGAGAAATGCTAAACGGTTTTGATGAATGCGGTCGGATAACCGTCGGTGAAACGGTTTGACTCAGGCCTAATTTATTTTGCACTGGAAAGGGCAGAATAGTCATGAGCCTTTGGTATATCTATCCCACAATAAATACAAGATGACTCAGAGAGATCATTTGTGTGGCATAGATATAAAAGTTTAAAAAACACAGACCTGGGGGTGTTTCACAAAGATCCTAAAAAGTCGAACTTCACTCTAAGTTGGACTTAAAAATGATGGAGAGCCATTTGAAGCCTTAAAATTAAATATTTCCAAAAGCAAAAATTGAAGTATTTTAGACTTTTCAGAAATTCCACATCAAGAAGATGAAACCTCCTTGATAATAGAAAATATGAATGATTTGAATCAACATTTTATGCCTTTTGACATAACTTTTACAGAATATTTTCATAGATGCTAACGGCTTTCCATAATTGTTAATGTCCAACTTAGAGATAAGTTCAACTTACAATCTTTGTGAAACACCCCCTGAACATGACATGATAACAGTTGAGCCTACTTACCAATCCTCCCCTATCTTGTACACAAAGATGATGTTGTCGGTCTGTCCTATAGCAATCTTAGTCGAGTCTGGCGAGAAGGCCAAAGCTTTGACTGTGTAGCTCTTCTTGCCATACTATAAAGGAAGAGGTTGAACGGCTCAAATGGTTTCATGGAAATATTTTAATTGTGACACTTCTGGAGATAATGAATAAACTGAGCTCTATATGTCGCAGTGGTGCAATTATTTAACATCTTGTAGGCCTAGAAACGTGCATCCCCATTTCTTGTATGAAACTGCATCATTTAAGATTATTTTTAACATACATCTCCAAAAATCAGACTAAATTATGATAGAAAGTAAGATATCTTAGGAGGCAATAATGGTAATGAAATTCCTTTGAAAGTAGTTTTTTAGTTCTGATGATGTCCATAATTTCAGGGTTATTTGTAGTATTATGATAAGAAACTAATTTATACTAACATAAATTTAAAAAAAAAAGAAACTAATTTATACTGTTATTCCTAAGAATGAACATTGAGATTCCCCTTGATAAATGTTGGATCATCAATCTGTCTTAATAGTCAAGTCAAGAGGGATATTTCTACGCCCTAACCATATCAACTTCTTTCCCAATCATGAGAAAGCTTTAAATAATACCTTTGACAAGATAGCTCAGTTGGTAGAGCAGTGGTCTCATAATCCGGTGACCCGGGTTCGAAACCAAGACGATGCGCTAGTGCCCTTTGGTAAGGCATTAATCCTCATTACCAGGTCCCTCGGAGAGGACCTTAAGCCATCAGCCGTTTGGTTGCTTACTTACAAACATTTATGCTTTCTTAGCAGTCAGGTAAAATAACAACCACCACCATTTACATACAGGTTAAGGATGTTTGTTTACATACAGGACTAATGATTCTTTAAGTTTTATTCATATTACCTTTGAATCAAGAGGTTTGGTGCCAAATTTATCTCTCCTCTCCCCCTGTTCATCAAAGAGAAGGACCACCCTATCCACTGTACACACTGCAAGCTTGGTGTTGTTTGGCGCCCAAGCCATCGCAGTGATTTTGGCTGCCCCATCCTACAAAAAGAGGAAAGAAATAGAAATAAATGTTGAAGATACAGATATATAAGAATAGAATATTAAAAATTTGACACTTGTCACACACTCACAGCTTACAACAGTTGTAAGTCAATTGCTTTTGTTTATAGTGGGAAAAAACACACCAAATTACACATTGGATTGAATAATGATATTCTGCATTTATAACTTAACACTTAGTTCATACATCAACAGTGTCTCCAAGCGCTCTACATTTATATCATTATCCCGGTCATCGGATTCAGGCTTGCCCGCACACAATGTATGATTGTTTGGTGGGGCGCAGTAGACCGAATTTTCCGTCTCTTTCGTTCGTTAGCCTCTTATTGGGGTAGGGTCGGCTCTCTCTTTAGAGACGGAAACCGTCTATACACATTCCCTTGATAACGCCACGGCCATTTCAGGTCGTAGCGTTTTGCCCCCAAAATCCCCCAAAATGTCATTTTACCTCATGCATTGATTATTTAAAATTAGGAGAAGGTTATACTACATCGGTTCCACTCACCAACTTGACTGAAATAATCCGTTTAATGGTCCCTTTTAAGGAAATTATGGGTCAAAATCGACATCCATGTTGAAATCTTGCAAGCCATGTTAAACTCTCGCTGCGCACGGAGTCATCTAAATCAATCTCATCCCTTTTAGTCTACGCCGAAGGCAAAACGATTATGAAGGAAAAACTGTGCGCCATCTACACGTTCGTAATGGCGTTATCACAGTTTTTCCTTCATAATCGTTTTGTCTTCGGCGTAGACTAAAAGGGATGAGATTGATTTTGATGACTCCGTGCGCAGCGAGAGTTTAACACGGCTTGCAAGATTTCAACATGGATGTCGATTTTGACCCATAATTTCCTTAAAAGGGACCATTAAACGGATTATTTCAGTCAAGTTGGTAAGTGGAACCGATGTAGTATAACCTTCTCCTAATTTTAAATAATCAATGCATGAGGTAAAATGACATTTTGGGGGATTTTGGGGGCAAAACGCTACGACCTGAAATGGCCGTGGCGTTATCAAGGGAATGTGTATAGACGGTTTCCGTCTCTAAAGAGAGAGCCGACCCTACCCCAATAAGAGGCTAACGAACGAAAGAGACGGAAAATTCGGTCTAGGGGTGCAGGTGCGCGTGTGTGTTCAGTTAGCGACCGTAAACTAAGATTACAGTCACTAACTTAACACACACGTGCGCCCGCACCCGACCGTCATTACGGTATGTATGTGTATTGTGCTACAGTTTGCCGTGAATCCCATGAGAAAGTGCATCTAGGCCCTAAGTCTTTATTTTTACGAAAAATATTCTGAAAAAGATAAGAAAATTGACAGGAAACAGGTTGGGTAACAAACAAATCGACTTTTAAATCATGACCTTTATTTGGACATTTGATGAATATTTATTTCATTTTGGGTATGTTTTAGGATTCGTTTTAGTAGGGTATCTCCACGACGGAGTTACGGGTCAAAGTCTGGATAGACTTCTGAACTAGCGCCAGTTTACTCTGCACGGCACGGGAATATTCGGCAACGATCGTCACAACATCACACACACCCGAGCTGTCCCCGTGCTTGACAACAAAGTGTAGCGTCCGTATCGACGGGCAAAAACAATCTTAATCTAACTTCATTTTCAAGCTCTTTGATTCATACCTGTGGGTTAAGCAGCGTTTTCAAGTGCTTTAACTGCATTACTTCTCTTCTGAGTCATCCATTAACAATAAAAAGTCACAAATTCTTGAGATTTTATCTGGGTTTGTAGACGTTACCGTTAACAATTTTCGGCCGCTCAGGAATGCAATTATAATTTTCTGGTCAATAGATGGCGCTAATAATTTCTTATATACATATCTGGGGGGGGGGGGGGGGGGGGGGGGGGGGTCAAGGGTCTTATAATTTTACTGGATGAAAATGCAAGACGTTGATAAAATCGAGTGTACGATATTGGGGGTCCTTGTCGGACCAACTGTAGTTAAGTTTTACTTATCTCCGCCCCACCCTCTCGGTTGAAATTAATGAGACAAAATATTTTATTATCAATTAAAAACAAAAAATCATTCAAGCTTTCATGCGGAAAATCTCCGACATTTTCGGTTAATTGATCAAAGTCTCTCACATGCAGTGCCAAACACAAAATAGTTCTAAACGTAGCCCATGTCAAGACAGCCTAATTCCAATTTGAGGGTTTAACTTATTAAAAATAAATTGAGCTAATTTAGATGGATGAAATGCGGTGAGAGAGAAAAACATGAGGGAATCTTGTATAGGACTGGGATAGGACTATAGGAGGGGGAGGGGGCTTGGGAGGGGGGCCTTGGGATGGGGGGGGGGGGGGCTTATCATCTCCTTTCAACATCCCCTCCTCCTCTCCTTTCATTGTTTTTGTCCTATATCTCTGTTTCTGTCTCTCTCTGTCTCTCTCTCTCCTTTTTTTAGATTCGATCCGAGTGGGGGCACGCTCTGCCACTTTATACCAAAATTTTCGCCATTGATATAAGGCCCTACTTACCTAGACTATAAATTATTCTAATGTCCCATTCTATTGTTGTTCTTTTATAGAACAACTTGTAATACATATTTTCTGAATAGATACTAGGCTATTGCATTCCCCAATCAAATATAGTTTGTAGTGTGAGTTTATGCAACTTTGATTGTTTCTTTTTATAAACATGTATGTATTTATCAATTTTTGGCGTTTAAAAGTGATTTTTTTTGTATTACTGAATAAGTTATTGTTATTGTTGTTTTTTTCTCATAAAATAATAATTCATAATAATTACTTTTACAGAAGGGCTTACACCCTACAAGCTCTGCTTTTTAGTCGGCCCTCCTTCCCTTTCAATTTCATGTTTATTTTTTTTAATGTATTGTATTGTGCAAATTGATCTATATGTATATAAATATGTGAATATGTTAAAATGTACCATCATTGTAAATATGAACGATTGAAAGAGGAAAAATAAATTGAATTGAATTCAATTCAATTGAATTGAATTGAAGAAAAGAAGAAAAAAATATATAGGGTCGCTAAAAATTTAAACAGATTTTTTAAAAGTTTAATTATACACCTCAATCATAGCCATGACAAAGTGCACATAGTCCTCTTATCTAGGGGTATCGGATGGTATCGGTGGTATCGGATGTGGTAGCTCCTGATTACAATAAACTCAGGATGTAGACAGACTTATAGTTGTATTCTTCTTTAATACTTCCGATGATGATTGACCTATAATTGAATTGAGTTGATTTCACAGAGGAAGTCACCAGGGCCATAAAACGTCCCCAGAAAGCTCGATTGTTCTTGGTCATCGCAAGTATAATGAGGCCTGCATGTTGACCCGTCTTTATCTAATTTTTAAAAGTCAATTACAAGTTAGCTTAAATGAACTTGGGCCCGAAAGCAGGCTACTATAAATGAGCAGCGATTCTTAAAATGTAATCCTAACGAGTAAGCGTTACATAAATTTGAATGCGATTTTACCCTTAAAAAACAACAATGATTTAACCCTTAAAAAACAATGATATCGGTTCTTGGTCATCGCAAGTTTAATGAGGCCTGCATTTAGGCCCGTCTTCATTGTCAGCTTATGAAGTCAGTGGGCCAAAAGCATGTTACTATAAAATGAGCAGCGATTCTTAAAATGTAATCCTAATCCTAACGAGTAAGCGTAATGCAAATCATGAATGCCATTTTACTCTTAAAAAAAACAACGATTTACCCCTTAAAAAAAACAATAATCTCACAACAATGTGCTTTTAAAAAAGGCGCATAATATTAGGAATGTCTTTATTTCTCTCCTCTTCTTCTCCAAAGTAGCAAGTTACTAATCTGAAAATAAATAAGCCAAGTTATTTTGTGGCAATGTCCTTTCGTGACTATCAAAACCCTTTTTGACTAATATATTCCTTCTTTCTTTTTTGGGGTACTTTTCTTTGTCTTTCTTTTTCCTTTATTTTTTTAGCCACTCGCTTGGCCGTGTCTCCGCATAAAGACCACTGATCACGAACATTCAAGATCTGATATTTTGATGCCACGATTTTGTTGTAATACAGTGAAACCTGCTTTAGTGACCACCTGTCTACAAAGACCACATTTGTTGTTTCCCTTGAAGACGGTTTTTCATTGAAATATGTACTAAAGGAACCTGTGTTTAAAGACCACCTGCATGTCTTCAAAGACCCCTTTTTGTGTTTACATTGGGCGGTCGCTATAAACAGGTTTGATTGTACATGCACACGTCTTATACGAGGGCTTGATTTCAATTTTATTCTAATAAGGCACAATGAAGAAAGAGGAAGTGAAATAAATCGAAAGTGTCCGGAAAATTTGATATCCCCATTTTTCCACAAGCCGGCGAATCTTGGGACAATAAAAGTTTTGGAGACCTATAAATCTTACAAAAAGCGTTCAAAAGAAACATAAACCTATTCTTCAGAAAATCTTAAGGAAATCGAAATGTAAACATGATGACAACGCCCCGGACAACGCAGACTGTTTGTTCGCGTGCCATTCACATTTTTGAAGAGTCAGAATGGGAATAGGAAGGAAGCAAGAAGGTTTACGATTAGCCTATATTGTGAAAATGTGTTCAAACCAAGATTAGATAACAAAATGGTGGTGGTATAACTTGCGACGTGAAAGTAAGAGAGAGAGAGAGAGCCTAAATATACTTCCGAAGTTTAACTATTTCACATCACAGATTAAACATTCACATTTCAAGGATGCAAACGCCACAAAATATATACCTGATATTCTGAATTCGTTATCTTGTGGTAGACCTTCTGAGTTTTTCGTTTCCACTTTCAAAATATGTAACGATCTTTTTATAGTTCGTTTCTCATTCTGTACTTTGCGTATTCAACTCAATTGTCCATGTATGATGATAATTATCAAGAGGACAACGTATCCAACGTAGGACATAGGACCCCCCCCCCCATGAGGGCGTAGAAAAAATAGAAGAAAGAATTAGTAGGTCTATAATTATGTACGGCACGCAGGGCAGTCAAAATGTTTCACCCCCCCCCTCCCGATTCCGGTGTCAATTTCTTGTGTAGGGTTGGTGTAGGGTTGGTCCATCTTTTTTTTTTTTGGGGGGGGGGAGGGGGTGGCACTGGTGTCCCAGGAGGAGGTAGGGCGTGTAGGTGGGTGAAATGCGAGACGACAAGAGCATAAGGCATGTTATATTGCCCTTTTCGACCGACCCCAAAATCTGGAAATCTACGGTCGGCTTTTTTTAAACCGTTTTTTAGTAAAAAAAATGTATTAAAGCATTCAAAAGAGGGAGCTTTTTTTGTTTTGTTTTTAGTAAAAAAAAAAACAACAAAGATTTCCTACCGACCGACCCATGTTTTGGCACCTAAAGGGCAATACAACATATTTTTTAGGCCTAATTGGCATAGGAGAAGATGTGAGAGGGGGTCATTAATTTTGTGAAGTACCCTATACGAGGCGGCGACACGTACCCACGTAATTCACACGCCACGCACGTCACACCGGCTATTCAAGTTCTTTAAAAGTAAGAAGTCGTTAAGGAGATCATTGTGGGCTTGCTTTGCATTGTGAATGAACAAGCTGCTAAAAAAAGGAATTTTCGTGGGGAAGGAAATAAGCTTTTTATTCCTAAAGGCTATAGCTACCAACAAAACTTACTGTTGTAATCTCCCGCAAAATAATTCCTAAAGGCTATATGGCTACCAACAAAAGTGATAGTTGTAATCCCCCGCAAAATCGATGATAATTATCATTATTTCGTGCTTGTAAAGGGTTTAGACTTTACCTTATTTGGTGAGCTTTCCGACTCAACCCCCTCTCCAAACTATCATTCGCATCGTGATGATGACAATGTCTTGATAGACCCTCGAATGTAACCCTTTTATTCCAACAATAATTCTTTACAGAGGCGGTTCAAAGATTTTTTTTTTAAAGGAGGGGAGGGCACAAATATTCAACTAATTTTCTGACCTAAAAAGAAATCGTCATCATTTTTGTTTGGGGCGGGATGAGGGCACGTGTTTACTCCAAAAATAGTTATCTGACAAGTGAGAAAAACCAGCAAACAAAGAAACAAATAAATAAGGCATTTTTGTACTTTAGATATACCACTTGGGTTTGAAGAGACGAGGGGGAGGGCAAGTGTCAAATATGCCCCCCTCCCCCTTTAATTCGCCAGATGGTCTTTCTATAGTACCAGTAAAAAGACGAACAATGTCCACTTTTACTGATCTTTATTCCCGGGTTGGCGCGAAGTTGTTCGAACTGGTGCCCAAAACTATAAGACACAAATTTCTTCACAGTCATCAAATAATACTGATATGTAATTCTACTTTTATATTAATACGATTTTTAAATGTATTCAAGAGAGATATATGAAGTATTATACAAATCCAAAGCAATCTGCATGGGAATACATTGAAATGTTGGAATGTTTAACTGACCAAGCATAAAAATAAAGAAGCTCTTGATGAACTGCCAGAATAAAAAAAAAAAAACTTTTTAATACTTGTTTTTTACTTTTAGCGCCTTACCAGTAAATGATCAAAGCTCTTGCACTATTAGTATTACCCCCTTCACATTCCCCACTCCCTGGGGAGCGTTCCAGCACATGATTGAGTAAAATTTCCCCTTCACCTATTGTAATTTTGTGCACCAAAAACCAACCTAATACTTGCCCAACAAACTCTAGTTTACCCAACGTGATCAAAGTATTGGAAATATTTGGCAACCTTTTCCCCCAACCCTTACTTCAAGTAATATTGGTAAATAATTATGACTTATAAAG